GCGGCCCCAAAGGGTATGGCTTTTCAGCCGTTTTGGTCATAAATAGGGTATAGATTTTAGCTGATTTTGGTCATAAATAGGGTATGGGTTTTGCACTCTGGCCTTCACATGGGTAAGTTTTTAAGAAGAAGCCACTTTTTCTTCATTATCGAAAAGAAAAACAGCAAAAGCCCTTCACAAATTATGTTTATGGTAACTTAACATTGGTCTGAACTAGGGAACCAATCATGACGCAGATCTGAAACAGGGTTTTGATTTAAGGGTCAGGTCATAAATAGGGTTTCGAATTTTTGGTCGGGTCATAAAAAAGGTAGGGAATATCGCAGATTTTGGTGATAGATAGGGTAAGGGGAAGTGGGCCGCACACCCCCACTCAATTTTTCTGGAAGTACCCCCTCCCCCACCCCCGGGGGAGAACGTAAACCAGAACGGCTAATTTTTCGTATTTCTATTTGGAATTGAACGCATTCGTAGCATATTCGGTAGGGGCATGTCTTAATACCGACTGACACACTGGATAGTTCCAGATAAATGCGAAATTCCAAAGTAAAATAGAAACACATTTTTTACTAGGTGTTTTTCCTCGCCGTCACCGTCGTATATGCGTGAGGTATTAGGGAGCTTTAGAAACCACGACGGCGACGCCGAGGACAACGTCGATTAAAAAGAGAGTTTATATTTTACTTACGAATCTCGTGTTACCCTAAAGTCATTCAGTTTGTTTATCACTGTCAAAGCTATCACGAAACTGAATCTAGGACACATCGATAAATTTGAAATAAAAATTTAATAAATTAGCCGTCGTGGTGCACGTTCCTTTGGGGTGATCTGAATCAGGATCAGTAACCCAAGATCACTCGGATCATAGGTCATCAAGGGAACTGATGAATCCATGGCCAGAGTGGATTCATCGGTTTCTTTGATGCACCATGATCCGAGTGATCCTGGGTTACTGATCCTGATCCAGATCACTCCAAAGGAACCCACCCAGAAACAACATTTAACATTTAGAGGTCAGTTGAAGATGCTAACAAAAGTACTGTGGTCCATAATGCGTACATGTAGGTTATGCAGCGTTTCGCTACATTAGGCCAAGTTCAGCGCCGTACTTCACATGAGCCGAATCGAATGCAAATGAGAAAAATCCTTTGTTCTCCCTCATTAGCATTCGATTCGGCTCATGTGAAGTACGGCGTCTGAACCGGGCATTATTGCCATTCGGGAAATACGTTGCGTGACAACCTCAAATAACGGCTGTGAAGAAAGAACGAAAGAAGACCAAACCTTTCACCTACTGAGTCCAGAACTTCTTCATTCATAACGTAGCCAAGATAATAACATTTTCTAACAGTTAGGCTCGAATCATTTCTCCTAGAACGTTGCCATTACGAGCCATGTTGGAAAAAAGTCAGGGCTCATACCAGCTTCATCGGTCACAGCAGCCACGCCTGCTCCTGGCAAGGCCACAGCGATCAGCCCTTCTCCTTACCATGGGTCATACGGGGGACAAGCTCAGAACCAAGACCCCCCTCCACCGTTCTTGTTTGTGGACAGTTTGAAGCCTATAGAGATTGTGGTCAGCTTCACTGCGTTTTCCAAATNGAGCATGCCATGAATGTGTTTCAATCGGTTGGCGGTCTTGTGATGTCGTTTGCTGATCCTCCAGCAGACAGGAAGTTTGATCTTGATCTTGGACTCAAGGATCAGCCAAAAGACATTCAAGATCGGCATTACAAGGTAATCATGCGAAGGTCGATTTGTCTTCTTTGATTTAAACTGTAAAATAGTATGTGTAAAACCCGGCACGTAAACGCAATCTTGACTGAGCTAGCTGGGGAAGCTCGCGGGAAAATCTTCTACCGAGAAAATAAAGTATATGTATGTATGAGACGAGTTTACAGAATTAAAAATCCTTAGAGTTGCTCTGATTACGACCAAATTATCAGAACTGACGTTAATAGAAGTAAATATCATTTAGTAAGGAGGATTTATCTCTGGAGCGTGAGGCTGAGAATGCAGATCTACATACAAGATCTTTTGCTTCCTTTCTTAGAAATTTGTTGTTTTCGTGCGACAACTTTCATTTTTAGAATTGACTCAGTCTCCTCCCCTCGTTATCAGATAATCTTCACATGGAAGCGTTTTCTTTCTTGCCAGGTTTTCATGAGATGCTTACTGAAGAGCGTCCGGTTTCATCTCGCCGATTCGTATGATTTGGCGATGCATTTCGCGTGGAAAGCCTTCCAGTTCCAGGCCTCTCTCTGTCTGCATCAGCGAGTCGGTCACAGGCCCCTGTCGGCAGCAGAGATCACGAGGATTGGTTCGATTACAAACAAGCGCCGCATCAAGAGCGCAGCCGCAGTACCACCCACCTGGGTCGATCGTACCTCTAACAATGAGGAGGAAACTGCTGCAACCAAGATCCAGGCCACTTTCAGAGGTTACTTCCTCAGAAAACTGGCGCGAGCTTATGTGAAAGGTTAGTAACCTGTCAGAGTTGTTTCCACAGCGAATGTCAGTAGTTCTCTTTCCGCATCAGTCTCCGTGACTGCCAAAACAAATTGCCAAATTCTTAAACTGACACTCTTAAGCACCGGAACATATACGTCAAGCGGCATGAGGAAAGCCGTAACCGGCGACAAGCGCAGGAATGAATAATCTACCTTAAGCGCGGGAAAATGTAGCTGGTGGCAATCACGGGAAAATGTAACCGGTGGCAAGCGCGGGTGTATATAATCTGCCGTCTTACACAATATAGTATTGTAAGTAGTAATGTTACTGTAAATAGCCGTGCTCTTAGGAATAGTTTATATTTTAATTCTGAGTTTATCTTAGCGAGTATAGTAATTGTAAGTAGTAACGTTATTGTAGATAGTCGTGCGCTTTTGTCCTGAGCCCCTGGCTCGGGAGATTGGTCAACCTCTCCCCACGTTTACTACTCAAAATAAATTTACCTTACCTTACCTTAACTGTAAGCGCAGGAAAATCCAGCCGGTGGCAAGTGCGGGAAAATCTAATCAGTGGCAGGCGCGGGAAAACAACGTAACGAAAGTCATGACTGTTTCTTTTTTTTCTTTATCATGCAGGCACCGAAGAACACCAGAAAGTGTGGGAGCTTTTATCCAAGGCTTGGAGTGTCATCGAACCTAATCTGGAAGGCTTTGCCATTCAGATCTTCAGACTCATGTTCAAACGCGATTCTGGATTGTTCCCGTTGTTCCCTTTCTTCAAGGATGAGTGGAGCCGGGTGGCTTACACCGACTACAATGGGACGTACCCTGAGCAACCGCCACAGTCTTGGTTTGTAGTCTTCAGGTAAGAAAGAACGCCGCGTATTTAATTCACCCAGGCATATTTAATGGCTACGTTATAGTGCTGTGGAAAAGCAAGACCTGCTCAAAAAAAAGGGGGAACGGTGGGGAGGCGGGAAAATTTTCCTCCCTTTGAATCCAGCCTGTAAGCAAGTTATTCTGGAACAAGCTGGTGTAGGCTACTTTGAATCTAACATTTCTTTTATACAAAAACAAGGGTTGGGGATGGTGGAGGGGCCCACGCTTAGGTCGACTACTAATGCTAAATCAAATCGACTATCTAGTTATTCTTAAAGTAACTTTTCTTCTTGTTGTTATACAGGGAAGTGTTCTTTGTTGATGAGCCGGTGCTGATGGTCCCTAAACTGTATGTTAACTTGCCGACCTGTTTGTTGCGAGTTGTGGACAATGACTCGGGTGAAGAGTTAACGAGGGTCTTCCAGAAAGTAGCACCGAACAACCTGAAAAAGAACAAGGTAGCAACAAATTTCACGAATCATTTCCTATCGAAACAGCTAGAAATAAATTATACATTGAAGATGCAATAACAGAAAACATTTTTCCGCATAAGGAGTTGTCTTATCGTAAGCTTCGCCAACCATCTACAACAAAAGAGTGAATTAAACCTCTACTAACTTGCAGATAAGTTTTCACCAGTACTAAATTAGATATCTTTTCAGTCTGGAAAGAACGAAAAGCTCTGCAGTTTTGTGATTTTGTAACTGCGTCTCAAACGAAACTCTAAATCGTTGTACTTTAATGTGTTGTACACATCTTGTGACGGCCACCGACTTTTCCTCAAGCGTAGTTTTATATAATGAGATATCAAGTAATTCAGGTGTCTTTTTAATATTTGCTAACGTTTTCTTGTAATTTTCAGCGTGGCTACACATTCGTCGCTGAAGCAAGAACTCCAAATGCCATTCTTCCTCCCGGCAAGTTCCGCTTACGTGTGATTGGCTCCACGGAGCCCTTGCCCTACCCTGGACGGGAAGGAGTCAACACTCATTTTGGAAACAAAGAGATCAGGGATTACTACATCCCGAACAAGTATAACATCATTTTCAGGTGAGTAGTTGTGATTGCTAGATTGCTCTTTTGCTACTGGAAACATTGTTTGCAAGTGGCTTCCGTAACACCAAACCTGGAGTAACCTACATGTTTGGACCACACATACATCGGAACTCATTAAACTTGCACCTGTTGCCAAGCGCGACGCCAAGCGCGGGAAAATGTGTAACCCGTGGCAAGCGCGGGAAAATGTGTAACCCGTGGCAAGCGCGGGAAAATGTGTAACGGGAAAACGTGCTAAGGCCAAGTCACGGCTGGTTTTGTTCGTGATAGGCTAGAAACGACACAGTGCTTGCGCTGAAGAAAGACTATGTTTTACTGACCTAAATGCCTAGAACTTAACTTTGAGATGCACTAAAATGTAGCCGATGTTTGTTGTGTTATGTGTAGGTACACCGTTAAGGTACAGGAGGATCACATGGTCAGTCTGCAGCTCGGGACATCTAAATCAGATGTCTACATCAAACTTCAGGTAAAGAGAAATGACGACTGCTAAGAATCCTAGTAAGGAATCCTATACGACTGGTTCAGTACAAATCCGATCGTAAAATGTCTCCCATCGCTAAATCATAGCTCTAAACTGACTGTTGCTGCGTAAAAGCGTTCCAAACATGCGTGTGAAGATAGCGAGTCAGTTCTGAAAAATAGTAAATTAAACGCTACATTTCAAATCAGTCTTTATAAATGTCGATAACGAAAGTTAGCAACTGTAAAACAGGATGCCCTCTGATGGCCCATAAGGATACGCTATTTTCTGTAGCATTTCTCGTGTATGTCGCTGGCACAGGCTTGTCCTCGGAAACGAAATTTCGGTAAAGAATACTGAAATTCTCTTCCCCTTTGCCGCAGGCTAAGAGTAACATTGTGAAGTGAACGTTCAACACCTTCGTAGCGTGAAGACGTTGTTTGTCACTGCGAATCTGACAGACACAGTGCCACAACAATCAATATGCGAGAAGTGAGGGCACTTTGCCATTGACACTTAAAGCTCCTTTCAGCTCTAGTTTTGGCTTGATTTGTCAAGCAATCTCTCCAGAATCTCCCCATGATCGCTGTAATGCCTGTTATTAGACGAATTTCACTGGTTTACTGATGAAATGGCTTTCAATTTATAAGAATTAAGTGTATCTGTTTTAATTTCACAGATTTTGGATCACGAACAAGAGGTGTGCAGTACGACTGGTAAAAGTCACGCAGTCATTCCAGCTTTCACTTTCTACCGTGACCGTACAGGCGATGAAGACGAAAAACAGGGAAAACGAGGTAACAATACGAGCTATTTTTTAACGAAATCAGTGTCCGGTTGTAGTTTCGCGAGACAAGGTTATCACCCCAACGTTAAATACTAATACCTTGCAGTCAAAGAGACAATCAACTAGCTTTTGACCAATAAAGAAGGAAAGAAAAACAGCATATATGGCAGCTACTAAAGAGGGAAATCGCTTACGCTCCAAGGTCAAGATTGGTCGTATGGTTGCCTAACATGTTAAGATGTTCACCGGCGAGCGATGAAAACGGGTGTGGAAAAGACTGGGGAGGACATAATCCCACTTACTATGATTTGTTCCTTACCGTATGACTGCCTAGCAAAGCCTGGTAGAACTCCTGTGAAACCCGTGTGAAAATATAGGGCTAGAAAGAATTCATTCCAGAAGCTTCCATAACAACCAACGCATTCCGATTATGCACTGCCAAAAACACCATACTCCTGTTAAAGCGACGGTCTCCGTGGATTTTAACGTCAGAGAAGTGCCCAGCGCTGGGGTCGACTTTTTGAATTGTAAAGTTTGGCGCATAAACTGATTGGTGATGGGAATTATAACTTCAGTCGATGTTTGTTCCCAGGTTCCCGCCCTCCTACCTCGTCCCAACCCCGCTCGGCCAAGAGGCCTCCATCGGGCAGCCGTAAAGCAGTAGCGTCACCTGTACAGGGCAAGGGTAGCAAGAAGAGTGGAAAGGAATCCAGTAACTCCTCCCGGCCAGGATCATCGGTGAGTGAACTGGTACCAATGTTTTGACATTGATACATGATGCTATGTTAGTTAGCCAGTCAACAAGCTAGGTAGTGTAAATCTGATTGTTTTTCTTTTCATTGTTCGCTGTTTTTCAGCAGAAAGGTTCCCGTCCTCTTCTCTGTGATGATTCAGAAGATAAAGAAGACGAGGAGCCAGAAGCCGAGACAGAGCCGGAAATCAAGGTTTGTTGTCTATGTAGATTACATGTGGCTTTCTTATTTATTAATTTGTTCATTTAACATCTTTATTTGCCTTGCCACGACTTGCTCTTGTTTGACCCTCTGGATTAGTACGTAGTTAAACAGGAGATCTGTTTCAGTAGTCATGGGTTAAAATCTCAGCTTGTAAGTATATTTTTGTTTTGGGTCGTGTGACTTCATTTCCTCTTTAGATTTCATAGGTCTGACATATCACAAACGGGAACCTTTTGCCTTCAGCTGATAGATATAGACAAATTTAGGCTTCACTTGCGCATTAGCTTCACGTATTTCTTTCATCTATGTCCAGAGTATTTCATGAATCCCATTTTTGACTCTCTTTTGTTGTTGTAGATACATAAGTACATCATTCAGGCCCAGGTCTTGCGCGACAGTTGGCCCTTGTCCAAGAGCGCCTGGGATTTCGTAGCTATGCTCAAGAGCCTGGATCGACTGGATGTAGATGGTATTACATCATTTTTTTTTTTATTTTCATCTTGATTGTGAAAGCTTAATGCGGTGATGCTTTTTGTGTTGTACAACATTGTTGCAACTTCAGTGTGTGTGAATGAAATCCTAGTGTGTGACCATTTAAATGAAAGCTATTGAGCAGTACTTTCATGTGGTACTGTTTATTATGTTGTACAAGATTGTTCTAACTTCTGAGTCTGTGGATGAAACCGCAGTGTGTGATCACTCAAATTAATACTGTTCAGCTGCCAGTGGTATTTGATTCTTTTTGTTTGTTTTTATTTTAAAATTTAACTTGAGGATGTTTCCTTGATCTTAAACCTGGGTAAACGTAAATAGTAAAATTGCAAAGTAAACAGCGTAGTAAAAACCATATAAATCGTTAAGAAGCAAACATTGGCAAACCAAGCTATGAGCTTAACAATGTCACTTTGTTGTTCAGTTCCTGCAGAGAGTGCCCCTCGTGGAGACAAGCTTTCTGCAAGCGTCACCAAAGGCAAGAAAAATAAGGAGGGCAAAGAAAGTCGGTCGAGCAAAGGACAAGTTGGATCAAGACCATCTTCACAGGTAAAGCTTAGGCACCAAAAGGGCAATGCTGAGTGACCAATATTATGAACGAGTCTGTAAACAAGTTATTAATTCTGTTCTTTTTTGACTAAGTGAACGTGAATTGTTGGTGATGTTGTGGAGGTGTCTGCAGAGAGAGTTCCAACTTATTTTTCAGTTAGTTTGTTTTAATGACACTGTGTTAATAAGTTGTATGAAACCTAAGTGAGGTTCATATAAAAGGCTTTTTTCTTCTGTGAGATGGAACGTTAACTATTGAAAGTGAAGGTGAAGTAGCCTTCCCGATGGTTGCCTTGTGTTGATGAAACAGTCCCTTATTTTTCGGCGACCGCGTTTTATTACGCACTATAAAATTGTGTGGTATTCTCTGTTGTTTTTGTTATTTCAACAAGGCAAGCGAGGCCCTGTCTTTGTATTGATCGTCCCGAGTCGAACTGGACTCGATTTCCGCTGCTCTCTCGCTTGGAGGAGCGCGGGCTCATTTTCCCAATTTCCAGCTGGTATTCGAACCTAGAGTCTAACTTGACGGGGGAAAAATCGGTTGATCTGCCGCTCTTAAGAACTTAAAAAATTTTTGTTCACTTACACCACATACAGCTAACTCTTTTTGTTTTATTATTTTTTTAAGCAGCAACAATTCGATGCTAGCAAACCAAACTGGACTCTAAGGGTCGTGTCTGAGGCGAATGCGGTAAGTCTTATTTTTGTCTTTGTGCTTTGAGGAAGCTGATGCAACTCCTGATCATAAGGATGTCTTTGATGAAATGAGTACGACGCGTTTTCCAGCGTTTTGGAGACACATGTCACGTGATTTATTCTAACTTAAATGACTGTCGCCTCACACCTAACCAATCACAGCAAGTGTAACCAACCAATCAGAACACGCCAGATATGTAGCTGATGCCAAACGCGGGGAATCATGCAACCAGTGTCAAGCGCGGGAAAACAGACAAAACAAAATTGTTTTTGTTCCTGACTGGCTGAAAGAAAACATGTTTTTTCTTCTCTTGTGATTGGCGAAGGCAAGTTGTAACACTTTGTCGAACCAATCGAAGAGCTCGGCAATGGCAAAGCGACAACAAATGAGTTTGCTTCTGAGAGTCAAAACAAAACCGATTTTTTTGGAGTCGTTTAAGTTTTTGAACGAATTTGCCAATGACAGTTCCTTTGTTTCATAGGAAGAGATAGAGGTGAAAAAGGACACAGAAAGACAAGATGAAATAAAGGCCATGAAGCTAGCGTGGGAAGCCGCTGAACCGGGCAGGGCTGCCAAGGTAACGTGTTAGCAGTTGCACGAGCACAGATGCATGAGTGGTGTCCACGGGTTAAGGTTACGCCGGGCCAAAAATACTTTTTCTAGGTCAAAGAAAATTAGCACTTTTTGATCTCTCATTGCACACGTTATTATTCACTTTGTGTGGTTGAGAATTTGAATCAACAAGTGAAAGGACGTCTGTGAGGGTGTTTAATAGTCGATGATTTGTTTAAGCAACAGAGCACTTTTTCTGTGTTTATTTAGCCTTATCTAAACACGAAGGGGATTCAGAGAATTTGACACAGTTATGCAAATCCGAAACGCAGTAGACGGTTTGCATTACTTTCGAGAATTCTCCCAACCCTCCGATTGTTTAGATGAGGCTATGTAAACACGGAAAAAGTACTCTGTTGCTTGAATAAAATATCCCTTAAAAATACGCGAGAATCTAAAACGTCACAACCATGTTATAATACTCTCATCTAAACACACCTATCGACCAATGAGAGCGCGTGTAGTATCTCACATATTTTATATCAAATCAAATCAAGACTTTACTTATCCACGGTAAAGATTAAAGCTATAAGCTTATGGGGCCGTGCACGAAAATAAAAGAAAAAATAATAATGGGATTTTGCAAGACTGATCTCTGTTGCACCCTTAAATACGAACCTACTGTTTCTCTGTGCTGAAGGAGCAATGGCCCAATTTTTTACTTCGTTATTCTTTGAAAGATAGCATTGTTGTCTTTTCCGAAGGCTCAACAAAGCCGTCAGAAGTTTTTGAACGAACATATGGTGAAAGTTGATAAAGATGCAATTGAGGAAGAAAACGGTGACGAGGCGGAGCAAGCCGATGAGAAGGACGTCTCTTCCAGCGAAATACGTAAGTGAGAGGTTAAATAGGTTTTACTGTAGGTGCCCAGACGCTAGTTTCCTGCAGAACGCTTGATCACGCAGGTTACCCACTTGTTGATCAGAGGTTGTTCCTTGTTTTAGGCAGTTCAATTACTTTTGTTTATATAATTTAGCGTTTTTTTGATTTAACTCGTCATCACCAAGCCAGCCTGGAACATTGAAATGGCCTTTACTTGTCCCCTACCATGCATTGGCCTTGCCGCCCGATGCAAGTTTGCCCGAAGTTCGTATTTCTAAACTAGCGATTCATCATTTTACCAAGCTCGTAACTTGAAATTGGGAGTTCCGAGAGTCCGAACCGTACCTTGCAGTCTGATTGGGTTGTGTTCTTGAAAACATCTCACATTTCCTCGCCGCCAAACTCATGAATTACATATTGTTTGTCTTGTTACAGTCACGGTGACGTCACCAGTACAATCAGAGGCAGACCAGGGCGAACTGACCCTAGTACCACCCCCTAAGGAACCGGATCAAATTCTTCAGCCGCTCTCTCAACCCAAGACCATCAGGTAAGATCGTGCTAATATTTATTTTCACTAATCATAAATTTAGCTCAGTGCAATTGTCCACATCTTTTTGAAGTTTCATTCGATTTTAGACAAGACAAGTTTATAGGTCATAGAATCTTCTAAATTTGCGTGTCGTAGTCCTTCGGAAGAAATAAAAACTTGCGCCTTTCCCGTGCAGGTCCTTTGGCTTGTCACGCAACGTTACCTAAGTTGCGTGACAGTGAAGCTAATAGTTCTTTCGTGACCATACGAAATATGGACACGCATACCTTAAAAACCTATACGTTGATCTGTGAGAAGTGTGAAACTGTTTTCCCGATCCTTTGTCTTTTCCCTTTCCCAGATCACGGGGTGGTATTCCCGTGTTGTTAGACGAGGAAGAAATCGAGAGACGACTTCTGGAGCGACGAGAGGTGGCGCGCGCTTTTAAAACACAACGAAAGGAGGTGGAGAACAGGAGAGAGCAGGACAGAATGGACAGGAATGCCGCTAAAGAAAGACAGTTACAGGAGGCTGAAGATCTACAGGTACAGCCTGGAATGTTTTTAACGAGCCTCGCGTGCTTGCTTGCTTGCCTGCTCTCTTGTCTGCTTACTACAAACGTCTCCTTCGCACTCTTTCTTTCCCACCCTTTTCCTTCCTCTTCTCTTCATTCTCTACGTCCCACTTTCTTTCTCGCTCTCTAGCAATCCAGTACCCAGAGCCCGCGTCAACCTAGGCCAGCGGTCGGGGGATGCGGGTACTGGCTATGAAATTGGCTCTCTCTCTGACTCCTTCTGTCCCTCGCTCCCTTCTATTTTTCCTCCCGCTCTCCTCTCTCCCCCCCTCTTCCACGCACTCGCCCACCCTCACAGGTAGTTCATTTCCTTCACCAGGCCGCCTCAGATAAATGGCGAAGTGAAGTGAACCAGAGACGAGAAGCTTACAGACAGAAATTCTTAGAGGCGGAAAAACAGAAAGAAGAGGCACAAGCGGCTGAGGCAGCTAAAGAAAGAGAACGATCACCATCACCCAGTAAAAGTCGAAAGAGCGCTTCTACAGCCAAAGGAGGGCGGAAGACTCCCTCTAAGGGAAAGAAAAAATGAACCATTTGAAATAAACATCCAAAACATTTCATAAAATATACAAAAAAAAAACATATTTATATTTCGAAACCCTGTGTTTCACGGTTAAAATTTCCCATAATTAGGTCTGTCAATTATTTATTTTGTTTATTTTCTCCCATTCCCGTGTTTCCGATTTGGAATACTCAGTGAAATGCTGTTGTGACGACGATTATTTTTGTACAGATTTAAGTTATGTGTACAGGTGCTTTTAAAGTAGTTTATGTAAATAGATGTGTAGCAGAAATAAAAAGAAAGCCATTCTCAAACCGGTCTTGCTTGAGTCTTGATAATTTGATTACTTGACCCCGAGTTTCCAGAAATTCTTCAAGGCGGATAATATTGACAACGATTGTAAGCAGAAGACGTTTCTCACTTCGTTACAATGTAGAAAGCCAAAATTAAACTCCCCTAATTGAAGTGGCAATTCAAACTAGACTCATTGCTGAGCTGTGTGGAAACAGCACTTTATAATTATGCCCGAACTGATCCTAAACTATTCCAAGTCGGCCGGGAAAGGCCGACTATTCCGCTATTTTACATTTGTGCGAACTATGACATATTTAGCCGGTGACCTGCTGAGACGAGTGTTACTAATTTACTGTCACATCTCGTCACAGAACTCCGTACAGTTTTAAGTTTTCCATCATCATTTCATATTCCTCGCGAACAGTAACAGTATCTCGTTCCATTCTCTTGCCTTGGATTCTGTTCATTTTGAATTTGATCGGCGCCAGGCGCTTCCAGCGATTAGCGGGTGTGCTTGTCACTTCTGCTTCATTTTCAGACCAAGCAGGTTTGACAACGGCGTCGTCAATTTTAATCTCTGGCTTGTTGGATGGGGTTTTACCGGGTAGCGTGCTGTCATCAGCAAGAGGTAAAGGAGATGACGGTACATTTTCATCAAGAAGTTGCGCTTGACTTTGCGAGGGATCAGTCGACCAGGCTACACGTTTTGCTGTAAGGTTTACGTTCTGCATTAGCGCTTCTGCGCTGTTCTTACACTCATCAGCCCCGTGCAATTTTAGAGACGTTTTCCTGGAAGGGGAGCTGTTTTGCTCAAAGTTGTTTTGTGACACGTTTGACCGTTCTTGTCCAGGGAGGTTGTCGACGCTGTTCTGACCATCAACTTCATCGGTAACGTTATTATGATCATCCCTGTCGCTCCAGCATACCTTTTTCTTTCTTGTATTTACATATTTGCCCATTCTTCCACTAAAATCATCAGCCATTCCTTTCTTCAAACTCTGGAACTTGTCTAGATCTTGGTTTGCTGAACTTTTGATGGGATCATCTGACACATCTACCCATGATTTTTCCGCATGATCTGGTGGTGTACCTTTGTCCGCGTTGTTCTGAGCGTCGCGCACTGCAATAGAACTCTTTTCTTTCTCCAGACCTGTGTTATTTTTTAAGCCTTTTTTCCCTTCAATGGGTGTATTTTCTGCTATCGAAACAACATTACAAGTTCCGCAAATGAGGAAAAATCTTTGACGTCTGCTTTTTGGAAGAGAGCACAGTTGAATTGTCGCTTTCCCTGTTCCGTTTTGTTTCTCCATCTCACTTGTAACTAGGCAGGACAATTAAAAAATGAATCGTGACGGAAATTTAGTAGTTTTGTTTTCAAAATAATCTTGATAATTTTTTTTAAGCTCTTTGTAATAGCAAGGCTAAGTGGTGTCGGGACAGAACTCCCCTAAATTGAGAAACTAAAAATTATCGAAGGATATTTCATAGCCCTTTTATTGCCCGGGTAGACATCAAGCTACCGGTGTTACCCAATCTGCGTGCCTTTTTATCAGAAGGATAATTAATTATCGCCTATACTGGAGTCCACGTTGATTTAATGCCCAGATAAAGAAGAAAGGGTACAAAAACATTTGAAAGCCTTTCGGATTGTTGAAGACAAATGAATGTCGGGATGACAAAAACTTGTCTCTACTGATGTCACCAGCCGGACGAAGCTAAGTCCAGTTTTTTTTTTTAAATTACAATGTTATTTTGTTCATGTATTGCTTAAGGTGTATCTAAGGTTTTTGATTTCTGAAGATACTGTACAATTTTTATCTTTTTTTTTTTCTTAATTTATCTGAGAAAGCACACTGTGTTTTTATAGTTTTGAAAAAGTAGATAACAGTTTTAAAATTGCCTTTTTATCTAAAAATCACTCAAGAGTTTTGGTTCAAAAGGCGTTCTTGTTCCTTTTTAAAATTTTTAATCACGCCAGGACACTGCATCAATCTTTCTCACCTCTGACAAACAAAAAGAAGACAGGACTGTCATTTTTCCCTGTCGTGGGTGCAGTTCAAAAAACCTCATTGAGATACCGGCGGATGTGTTTATTAGTACAGTTTTCTCTGCCTTTCTTGTGTAAAGGAAATCTTTAAAGACGTCGTTTTTCTTGACTGAAACCGTGAATGGGTTGAAACCAATCAAAGGGAAGGCATTGTCGTTTCATCCAATCAGGTGTAAAGCTAAACCAGTTTTTCACATGCTTGCCACTCACGTCTTTCTCTATCGGTTGCAGTTATTGGTTCGGCTCTTATTATCAATGATAGAATAGGCCACGTTCGACATATCAATATTCTAATTTCAGGACAAACTTCTATATTTTCTTTATATCCAAGGCTCTTTTGGGAATTGAGGGACAAAATTTGAAAGCCTCGGAATCATGTTAGAATATTGATATATCGAACGCGGCCTATTGCACTCAGTTCGCATAGTCCTTTACTCTCCAGCCTTGATTACTGGTCATAACAAATCTGATGTATTCTCTGATTCGACTCTCATCGTTGCCTGTCTTTTCACTGTTAAACCACGAGAAAATTATATAGTTTATCTTTGAGATCACAGATTCTTGACGCTATCCTTTAATTTAACTTTCTATCACCTATTAGTAGAATTCTACTTGAACACTTACGCAAATGCTGCAATCTGATTGGCTGAGCCACTGCACACTATCAGCCATTAGTGGCTTGGTGTGGTCGATAAAATTTCAACGCTTTCTCGTTTCTCCGAAATTTTGAAAGAACATTTAAAAACAACAGGATAATTGAATTCCTGAGAAGACTGAAAAAGGATATTCACGGTTTCTGGAATTAAAAAAAAAACTCAAACTGACAACTCAGTCGGCGCGAATTCTCTAACGCGAGAAGTTTAATATTGAGACCAGAAATGTTTGGAATCGTTATTTGAGGCAAATTTCAGTTAGAATTCTTCTAAGGCAATTAGATTATTCGCTCGAGATTTCTATGAGGTGATAGTTGATTCGGTCTTCGGCCTCATCAACTATCACCTCATAGAAATCTCGAGCTCATAATCTAATTGTTAATTATTATTCTATTAACTTTCTCCTAATAACAAGAGACTGGTTGTCGGCAGGCACCGAAACTGACCAAAAGTCGTCGTAAAAAGCCTTTTTATGTATGCTATTAACGTTCAAATAATATAAGGTGCTAACAGAAAGCCAGGTAAGGAATCAGAAGATACTCGCGGTCAGTAATATTCAATAACATGTCTAAGATGTCTACAAAGTTCTAACACAACGAGCTAAGTTTTGATAAATCAGGCATGCAAAGTAAGATTATTTTTGAGAAACCCAAAATATTCACCCAGCTATTGACCCTTGTCAAAGTAATCAACATAGGTTACAACTTAGGTTACAATTTACATTAAATTAAATCACCATGGGTTACATTAGATCATGTGATCTGTCATGTGATCAGTCATGTTCAATACATGAACCAGCCCTGTACTGTAAAGCAAACTTTTCCATCGTTTTTTTTCCCGCCTGAATTCATCAGGTCTTCTGCAAGCCACACACGCAGCTCCTGGCCGGAAGCAACGTAATACGGATGTGACGAATCTCCAAAGATTAGTTCCGGTGAGTCGGGTTCCACTTCTGGTATATCGTACCACAGAGATTCTCCTTTATCCCTCAGAGACAATTCCGTCGGGTAGATGATGCTGTTAGTTTTCCCCGTTGTTATGACGACGTTGAACGGCGTTCCACCATACACTGGATGACTTCGAGGACATCCCCACTTACTCTTGTACTGAGGCAAGCTTTTGTCGCATGAAACCTGACCAGTCACGTGTACCAGTTTGATTGACAGAAGAAAGCCTTCCATTGGGATCACAGCAGTCGCAAACTCGTTGCCAGGGGCACCAAAACAAACAACGCCTGTGAGGTTTAACCATCTTTCTGTAAAATGTTTATGCATGACAAACATTAATCGTTAGGTCTGTAGTGTAGATATTATGACTTTTCCTCAATGTGGTTTATTTTTGTGTAACCCGAGGACATCTCTGCCTCTTCCCTAATGTTACCCCCTTGTAATAAAGACACTGCAGTTTTAAACCTTAATTCGTCTGATATTCCAAATACCAGTTCTTGGTTACTGGCTGCTAAATAACTTCTCTTGTACGTTAGTTTAGTCGAAAAATTCGTCTGATACTCTGTTGTTAACTGAACCTACATTCTCAATAATTATTTTTTTATTGGCATAGAGAATTTTAGCACAGTTGTTAATTTAAGCCATCTTAACTGAATAAGGCTGATTGGAGTATAAAAATTATAACTTACGTGGGCAAACTCCAATACCAACAACTTTGAAGCTCGGCCAATTTAAAATTGCATATGGAGTTTATTCTTTCAAAATTAATGGGGGAAACCCTATAGTGAGCGACGCTAGTTCACATTTGTAGCTTGGTAGTGATAAAGATCCCCAGATTTAATGGCTTATACAGGATGAATATTACAAGTCATGTTTTAAGAAAAACGATAGGTCTAGACAGTTGTGCAATTAGTTGGATGGCTGGACTTTCTGTGTTTATTTTGACCAACATTCTAGGTCTGTCTGACGACTCAAGACAGCTGCTTGTCACTTAAAAGAAATGATATGTGATGTTTTTTTCCGTTTTTTTTTTTTTTGGAAAATCGACTCCAGAGATTTTGTGATAAGGAATTCCGAAAATTGCGCAAGTTCATTACCTTCGTGACTAGCATTCTCGTTTTGCGATAAAACTGTTCGCAAAACATACAACGCTTAGCGGCGCACATAACCTGAGATAAAACCTGGTACGGTTCTGACCAGCGATGAAATCAGAAACACAAGCATAATGGGGCAAGCACAAGACTGTATACAAACACTGAGATACGAAAGAGCAAGAACAGGGATCAAAACATTTTGATGCATTCGCTTCGGCTTCCCAGTGCTTGTATGACTCTTTTCCTTGGGCTTGTGTTTGAAGTTATTACCTGGGTTGCTAGTGAAAACGAGGCATAAGCGGCTGCCCCCTCTGGTTTTGAACTGGGTTTCAAATGGAAACCCGCGCGCATTCTTTCGTGTTTTGAACTGTTTACTACCATGAAGGTCGTTCCATTAACCGAGTAGAAATGCTCCTAGTTGCGTCATGGTACAGAAACTGGGATAAGCTCCGGCCTGATGGGCCACTTGGCTCGTGTACAGACTTTACCTACCTTTCCATTTTTCAAAATTCGTTACAATTTAATACCCACCTTGAAAACCGCCTGTTTCCTAAACTAAAGGAGTCTATTCGAGGCATAATGTTGGCACTACATACCTGTTTCGTAAGATTGGCAAAACTTCATGAAGTCTTGAATAAACACAAAACGTTCGCTGACCAAAACTCTGTCCATGCCCTTCAGAAAACTTGGTTTCAGCAACGCGGGCTTAGCGCCGTTGCATGCAGACACAAAGCAAGCCGCTACAGCTAGAAAAGCCAATAAACTTGGAATCTTCATGATCTTAGATGGGAATTGTGACCGCAGCCTTAGAAGCGCTCTGCTGGTGAATACAGCTTAACCTTAACTAAAAAATATCCGGGAACGACCGTGAGCAGGACAGTTGATAGGAATGCTATGACATCAGAGACGTCCTTTACACCTTTTTTTTTTGCAAATCGTGCCGGAGTTCACCACTAATCTGACTGAGAATGCAGGGACAGATTCTTTTTTTTATTTCGTTAAAATTGAGATCTTTTAAATAGCTCACTTAAAGTGAGTGGGCGGTCGTCACAAAAGGATAATCTTGACTTGCGTTTCGTTTCATAAATGGCAAATCCGATGTGGCATCTGTGACATGTGACTGAACATAACTTGGCTTGACCGTTTAAACAAGTTCACCAAGTTACATAACAATTCGAAGAACGTAAATTCTTTAAAGTTAAATTAACTGTACAATCGCTGGCCATATTTTACTGTTTGCCAGCCGGCCTCCGAGGAATATTATCCAAATTTCCAACCCTTTGCCCACTGGTTCCCTTTCTTGGCTTCTCAAAATTTAAGACATGTCAAAAAAAGGTAAAATACGCGCAAATATCGCAGAAAACCAGAGCACTATTTTAACGAAGATATTCGTGAAAGGTTACTTGACCAAACTACCGGGTTTCCATAACATTTTGTCAGTCCGATTTGGGTTGATCACTCTAACCGGTGACCAAATTCAAGAAGTTCTTAAGATACGGTCTGATCAACTTCCACGACTTCGTCGAATACTAAATTCACTCCGGTTGTCTAGCCGGTCACTGACATTCAGTTTGAAAACCTATCCTAGATCGGGATGCCCCTTAGCGCACGCAAAGATTTTCGTCCCTTGAACATATTGAAAGAGCGCCTTTGAAGAATAAGAGGTTTAGATTCAGTTACTCTAGAGGCATTATTTATTGCGCTTGAAACTCTTCTCGATATTTTTTCGGTGCTCTTACAAGATGTTCTCGAGTATAATCAGTTCAAAAAATACAGTCTTTTTTCTTGTAACAATGTTTTCTTTTCCAAAACTCTAAGCTTCTTATGGACAGAATGGGGATGTTAAAGACACTAACTTATAACTTTTAAGCCTTGACCTAGAAGAGTCACAGAGCACGAATTCATGTTTTTTCAGCCGTGAACTCGCAATTAACTGTACCAAGGTAGATAAGCATTTTTACTTAGAGAGGATCAAACTGATTGAAGGTTTTCTTTTTCTAATTATGGTATTCGCCGAAGGCAATAGCAGGGAAACAGATGGAGCAGTCACTTGAAGAAGCTTTAAACACTTCTCGGATACCGCGTGAAAGAAAAGAAAATTATCTTTTTGACGTAAATTCTTTGTGCAAGCGAATCTGCGATAGAAGCACCGAGGCTTCAGGATAAAACCAGGGTAGAGGATCATGTATACCTCAATCCTGGTATGCTTGGAATAAACAGGCGAACATTCATTTCAAGTTTGTCGTTTATAATCTGTGTTCATCTTTGTCAGTAGAAACCATTCGTGTTATTTACAGCTTACCGTCATTTCTTTGGTGTTTCTCTACCTTAGAAAACCAACATTTTAAGGCTTCCTCCGGGTTTGAAAGTAATTTTGTCCATCCAGGAAACACGACTTGATGTACCGTGGCACATTACGTGTCGGCTCCATTGATGAGACATGAGAGCATAAGCTGAGCTACAAGAAGATGGACATATAGTTTATTTTACTGATCCTTTGAGAGATCGCAGTGGATTATTCCTTTAATTCAGGACGTTCTTATATATTTTGTTTTAGATTTCGATCAATTGGTTCAAAAACAAAACTTAAACCATTTAACGTGAGCTAAAAATACGAGCACTGCACAGCTCGCGTAGACCGCACTCAAGAGCAAATACATGGCAGACGAATCTGTTCGCTATATATAAAGAAAATATTTTCTTGGCGAAACTGAATTAGATTAATGGTCTGGTCTCAAAGACGGAGATAAATCCAAGAATTAAGATAAGAAAAGGCAAAAAGAAAAGAAAGTGATTTTATAAAAACCGTTGCGAACGATTTGTGGCTCGGTCGCTTGAGAACCTCTTGTGAGTACGTTTGTCGGGTACAAGGTTCAAATATCACGTTTCTGGGTTACTAAATAAATCGCCTCAAACTTCCAACCTTTCTTTCGATTCCGAGGACCGATTTCAGGTATTTGCTAGCGCAAACAGCGGGTCATTTGCCCAAAATCGATGGAACCTTACACCTAAATATAATGTCGTACCCCACAAACCGCGGACAGAACAAGATTTGTTGCCCTTACACAAATTAACCGGAACAGCTCTTGTTTTTCCGGATAGATTCATGTTTCCCTTGGCGTATTGCCGTTGAAAAGCAAGTTTGCCGACAAACTGAAATTAGATTGTAAAAAGAGAGAGTCTCGGTACGGAAAATTGGGTCAATCATCAAGTCAGTAATTGCGCAAAATTTCCGTTGGATTATAACGGTGTGGTTCTTGTCCAGTGAGCACGGTGTGGTTCTTGTCCACTGTATTTACGAAGAAAGCTCTTTGTTCTACCCCCGGGGGGGGGGGGGCACTGCCATATACGGGTTATATAGGTTTGTGCCGCTGTGAAGGGTATGGTTTTCAAGCAGTTAACTCTAGGATAGGGTATATAAATCAGAGCGTTTGGGTCTAGAATAGGGTATAATTTTTCACAAAACTGA